GTAAAAACCGGGTAAGGAGCGTGTGCGGGTGTGCGGGTGTGCGGGCGCGCGCGGGAGCGGGGGGGGGGCTTCGCCGTTCCCGGAAGTTACTTACTTCCGGGTTCGGCGACCAACCGGATCGCAGGGACCGGTGCGAACCGGTCGAAACCCACCCCTGCTAAAGTCCCTCCAGGAGATTCACTTGCTAGACATATTCAGCTATTTTGCTATGTTGTCTGTTACGACTCTTCTTGTGGTTGGTTACTCTATATTTCATCCTAGACTGCTACTTCCTTAGCAAATGAGTAGCTTCTTTTCTTCCAATTGATCCAATGATGGCTAGGAAGAACATGGAGTTCTAGCCATTAACTTTTCTCCACTTCTTCTGCCAATACTTCTGTTCCACCTTTAATGTCCCAGTGGATATTAGTCTAGTTTTTGCCCATAGGCTACGTGAAGCATGTTTCCTTTATTTTTCAACTATTGCAATTGTTCATTTACCTTTTGATTTTTCAAAAGTCTTTAACTTACTAAATAAGGCCATTGGCACAATACTTGTACAAATGCTACTTTAGTTCTGTTTAACTGAATGATTAGTTCTTTGTTGTCTCAAAGGAACAGCATCCTCCCTTAGCTTTAATAATTGTAGCATCAATTTGATGTTGCTAAGAAAGCCTAATTCAAGAAGCTAAATCTTTTTTTTTAAGTAAAGGTTTCTCCTGTCCAGTCATGTCCAATGCTACAGTACTGTTCATCTCCCTTTCCCAGCCAAAGGAGCCAGAGTTCTCTGAAGATGCTTCTGAGGTCACGTGGCTGGCATGACTATACATTGAGATACACGGAATACCATTACCACTTCCCACAGAAGTGGTACCTATTTATTTACTTGCATTTGCATGCTTTTGAACTGCTAGGTTGGCAGAAGCTAAGGCAAGAACGGGAGCTCACCCCCTCATGTGGTGCTTGGGCCTCAAACTGCTAACCTTCTTTCTTCCCCTCAGTTAATCTGAAATCTATTACACAGATAATAAAGAAAAATATTGTTATCTGTTTTGTATACTTTAACAACATAAATAGTATAAGTTAGGGTAGAATTGTATGGAGGGGTATCATTTGGATCTGCTCAGTTCTGCTTTCTGAGTGCCCCCCCACCCAACATAGTGAACCAGGTTCTCTTCCTCAACGCTTTCAATTAATGGAGGCACTCAATTCCTCTGCTTCAATAGACATAACTTCTATGCACACACGTAATGTGCATAGACATTTACTGAATGCCAAGAAAATGGCTATGCTAACACAGTGCAGCATCACTGCTTCAGTAGCATTTAGTGGAGTTTCATTGAAGGAGTGCTTCAAATACTGAATGAAAGCAAACATTTGCTTGAAATTTTGTATCTCCTTCTTTACAACACAGAACATTGTTGTTGGACGTACAATTCAGGAATTGAAACAGTATTTTGTATGGTTTGGTTTTGTCCTATTATTGTCACATTTGGCTGACATCAACAGGATTATTACTATGAGTGGATCAACTGCTGTGTGTAAGTGTGTTAAGAAAACAAGACAGATGGAAATTATCCCTTGCGCCCAAAAGAGAGTGGGTTTAAAGTAATTGCACTGCATGGGCAGGAAATAAAGGCATAAGAATTTAAAGCTTGATTTCATAATAATAGAAC